AGACAACCCCGAAGTTCGCCGACCAGACATCATGGCCGGCGACATGAACATTGTCGAGGCCACAGTCGATAGACTCCCGGCAAGAGAGGATGACACAGATGCAGTGGACGCGCTAGACGACCTTAAATCTTACCTAGGGTTGATAGACGGATGGCGGGATACATTCCCCACGACGAGAGCCTACACATACTCCCAAACAGCGGCCCAAGGAGGAGCCAGATCGAGGCTGGACCGGATTTATGTCCGGAGAGAGATGCTAGAAGAGACCTTCGAATGGAGGATTGAGTCAGTAGGTATCGAAACGGACCACGACATGGTGTCAGTGAAAGTGACAACCGCGGACGCACCCACGATAGGACATGGGAGATGGGTCTGGCCAATGCATATATTGAAAGACAGAGTGCTTACCAATTTTGTGAACACCAAAGGGATAGAGTTCCACACAAAACTCACGACGTTGATGGAGGACGAGTGGAACCCGAACGAAAACGCACAAACGCTCTGGCGGGACCTAAAGAAGGAGATCAGGAACAAGGCCCGAGAGAGAGCAAAGATACTGATACCGAGAATGACCAAGGAAATCGCTGACATGGAGGCTAGGCTCGACAGCATTATAAACAACACAGAGATAGACGAGGAAGAGAAGATGCTGGCCGGGACCGTGATCACCGAGAAGTTAGTTGAACTACAGAAGAAGAGATACAAGAGTTCAAGACTGACCGTCAAAGTGCGCCATAGACTTGAAGGGGAGATCATTGGCAGATACTGGTCAAAACTCAACAAACCCGCAAAGCCAAGAGACCTAATCCGAAGACTACAAATCAGTCACCGCGACCAGGGAGTCGGGCCGAGATACGAGACGGACTCCAAGAAGATGGCGACAATAGCGCGGAACTACCACAACAACCTCCAGTCTGACAGAGCGGACACCCCAGAGGAAGTGCGGGAAACTGCGACAACGCGGGTCCTGTCAAGAATAGAACGAACAGTGAACGACGAGCAAGCACAATTGTTAAAAGGCCCCATGTCCAGAGAAGAAGTGGAATATGCGCTCAAAGTATCGGCCAACTGCAAGGCCCCCGGACTAGATGGGATACCGTATGAAGTATGGAAGAGCTTGAATGATAGATACAAGTCACTGACCAACGGAAACAAGCCCGCGTTTGACGTAGTCGGAGCGCTGCAAGCGGTATTCAACGATATTGAGATACACGGAATGGTCAAGGAGTCCGGCTTCTCCGAGAGCTGGATGTGCCCATTATATAAGAAAAATGACAAGGCAGACATTGCAAACTATAGGCCGATATCCCTACTCAACACGGACTATAAAGTAATGACCAAAGCACTGGCCATCAAGCTCGCACACGTTGCACCTAGCCTAATTCATCCAGACCAAGCCGGCTTTGTCCCAGGGAGGCAGATCAGAGACCAAGTGTGGCTTACAAAGAGAATAATAGAATGGGCAGAAGTAACGGAGCACAATGGAGTAATTGTCGCGTTAGACCAGGAGAAAGCATACGACAAGGTTGAACATGACTATCTATGGAAAACACTAAGAGCCTTCAATCTGCCAGATGAGTTCATCAACACGACAAAAGCACTATACAGCGACGCACATACGTATGTTATGGTCAATGGCGAAAGAAGCGAAAAGCCATTCAAAGTAACTCGCGGTGTCCGTCAAGGAGACCCGCTGTCCTGCCTCCTCTTCGACCTAGCGATTGAGCCCCTTGCGGAATCGCTACGAAAATCCAATCTAAAGGGCTTTAGAACACAAGGAAGAGCGGATAAAATAATAACCTCACTGTTCGCGGACGACACGATGGTATACCTCGACGAAACTGACGATTGGGACAACCTAATGACAATACTTGATGAGTGGTGCATAGCTGCAGGCGCAAAATTTAACGTCACGAAAACAGAAATGATTCCAATTGGCAAGCGCGAATACCGCGACAGAGTACTTGCCAGCCGCACAGTAAATGGACAGGATGGGACAAAAATACCCGACCACATTAAAGTGGCCGCGCAAGGAGAACCTATACGCACCCTCGGAGCATGGATTGGCAACGGCGTTGAACAAGCCGCAATATGGTCGCGAACATTAGAGAAGATTGACGCGTCCCTAGCACAGTGGGGCTTGAGCAACCCGACAATAGAGGGCCGTCGACTAATAATTTCAATGATCGTCGGCGGAATGTCACAATATCTCACCATGGTACAAGGAATGCCAGGGAATATCGAGAGAAGGCTGGAGAAAAGAATTAGAAATTTCATATGGGCCGAGAAAGAGAGAGTCACGATCAACCAGGAGACTGTGTACGCACCGATTGAGATGGGCGGAAGGAAGCTACTGGATATATATGCCAGAAATGAGGCAATCTCCATCATGTGGCTAAAGCACTACCTGAACTTGGACGCAGGGAGACCGACATGGTGCTATCTGACGGACGAGATTTTCGCTGCAAACAATGAGAAGCAAGTCCATAGAAGAGACGTGCTGAGGAACCCATACCTGCAAGACTGGAGACCGAAATCATCAGAAAAGAAAATTGGAACAGACCTGCACCGGATGGTACATGTTGGGAAGAAATATGGGGTGAGACTAGAGGCCATCGCCATATCACGCGACATCCAGAGGTCAATGCCGATATGGTACCATAAATTTGCGCGAGGAGACACGGCTGTGTACAATAAGCCAAAACCGGTAGTCGAATGCTTGAAAAGCCGGCACAAGATCCGAACGGTAGGCGATGCAGAAGAGCTCGCGAGGAAACTGCAAACCGCCCGGCATACCGCGAGAAGAGACTGTAGATGTGCAGCATGTCAGATAACTAAAGCAATAGCCAGATGCCCTCACCCACATAAATGCTATACCAAAGCAAGAGACATGCTGAACGAACTCGAAGACAAATGGGACCCAAGAGTGGCCCAACCCCAAACTTGGGAAGAAATGGTCCAGGACGAAGAACGCGAACCCGCGGAAGATGACGAAGATGTCGTGAAATTTGACGCAAGCGTGACAACGCAAGGAACAATATCGAATGTGTTCCGTATATTTGAATGCGGGGCCAGAAACACATCTACAAGGGCACCGAATAGACAACCAACACATGACGACGAGGGCGGAGACCCCCAAAAGGTGTACACAGACGGATCCGCGATTGGGAATGGAACACGAGATGCAAGAGCGGGCGCAGGAATCTTCTTTGGCCCCGACGACCCGAGGAACCGAGCCTTGAGAATACCGGTTGAATGGAAGCCATCGAACCAAGTTGGTGAACTCGCAGCGATAAAAGAAGCAGCCGAAATGTGTCCTGTAGACAAACCGCTAGAAATACTGAGTGATTCAAAATATGCCATTGACGGAATGACAAGAAACGCACAGAAGTGGGAAGACAGCGGCTTCTTCACAGTGGCCAATGGCGAGTTGGCGAAATTGACCTTGATGAGACTAAGGCAACGCCGGGCACCCACCTCCTTCCGCTGGGTGAAGGGACACAGCGGGATAGAAGGAAACGAAGCGGCAGACCTTCTGGCAAGTGAAGGCGCCATGAAAAGCGAGCCAGACGAGATAAGGAGTTATGAAGTCGACGACCTGAGGCTGAGCGGAGCAAAACTAAACACGCTGACCCAGTCGTCAGCAGTGAGGATAATAAGGGTACTGAAGATGGACACACCGAGATACCAGGAAAAGCTTGCGCGCGCTGGAACCTTGAGGAATTTGCCGCTAGCCCGCGGCGCGGCTACAGACGAAGGAGCGGCAGAGGTGTCCGATAGGAAGGTGTGGACGTCAATAAGACACAGGGATATATCGAAGAACATCCGATTCTTCCTATGGATGTTAATCCACGACGGCTACAAGGTAGGCAAGCACTGGGAACACATACCTGGACACGAGTGGAAAGGCCCGTGTAAAGAACCCCGGTGTGGAGACGTGGATGAATCAATGAAACACATCCTGACGCAGTGTGAAGCGCCAGGCCAGAAAGAAGTCTGGGAGCTTGCCAGCAAGCTGTGGGAAATGAAAACAGGGAGTGAGCTGCCAACACCCACTTCGGGCCAAATCATGGCATGCGGAATGATTGACAAGGCCGACGACGGCACCACAAGGCTGTTCCGGATTCTGATATCGGAGTCGGCACATCTAATCTGGAAGCTCCGTAACGAAAGAGTTATCAATGAGAAAGACCCCGCATCTGGGACCGAGATAACAAGAAAGTGGTGCTGGTCAATCAATAATAGATTACAGATGGACAGAGAAATGACAAATGAGAACAAATACGGGAAAAAGGCCATCCCGAAGGCATTAGTCCGCAAAACTTGGATTAAAACACTGAAAGACGAGAAAGCACTCCCGAGTGACTGGCCAACGTCAAGGGAGGTCGGGGTTTTAGTGGGTGTCGGCTGAGGTGGACAATGATGGGTGGTGATCTGGGGGGTTTATCCCTCCTGCACGCCCTGAGTCTCCCAAGGCTGCAGCCCCACACCAGGTGCCCAAGGGCCAAGTGCGAACGCGCATTTCCTCGAGTGGGTTGATCCGGCTGGCGTGGTTTCAAGTCCATGCCTCACACTTCACGGGTGGTGGATGACCGACAGATGTCGGCCCGGGATGCCTGACGGAATCTCGAAAGAGAACTACGGCAGGCTACTGGGGAGCGAAAGCGATTATTCACTTCTATCTAACGTGCCACAAAAAAAAAAAAAAAAAAAAAACAGAGAGGGAAATTTGTGGTGTGACCGTGTGACCGCGAGTCACACCTAGTCACACCTAGGTGATAGGTCAGAGAGAATTGTGGTTCCAATGTTGCCTGCCAGTCCCAACACGAACTAAAGAAGCTCTGCAAAGCTACCACAAGTTAGAAGGACCACCGCCAAGGCATGCGCATGTGCAAGGTGTCTTTGCCGAGCATTTTCCCTTTTCTTTGCTTGCAAGGCTGTTTCGAATCCAATCGTCCAAATATATTGTTAATATACAAACATCAAAAGACAAGTATAGTTCAGAGTACCGTGGCCACAATATGACACGTCTCTACCCCCGGCAACCGATGGACTCGGACGACCTTCCACCCGCCCTTGCCTAACAAGTCCACGAACCCGCCCACCGTGCGCTCGCATGCATTCAGCATGTTCAGTACCTGATGCCAACGTCAGCGAGGGGTTTGAATGTCTATCAAATTCCGCTGACCGTCATGTCCATCGAATACAGCCTGGCCGCGCCAACTCCGCCATTGGGCAACAACGGTGGCGGCGCAAGCGGGCGGAGGGCCCCAGGAATGTCCTTGATCCGTGGGTCGTCGTGTTCTCCACCAGAAACAACGGGGAGGATGCTGTCCATCACCACAAGCTGGGTCTCTGGCTTCGCAGCGGCACGTAGCTGCTTGAGGATCGTGATACAGGCGTTGTCTCGCCAGTTGTGCAGACAATGGCGGATGATATAAACGTCTGCGGTGCCAAGTCGATTCGCTGGTTGGGCTTCGAAGAAGTTTTGAGCTGAAAGCATGTCAGGTGGAGTAAGATGTGCAGGTGTAAAAGGGGGTGCTCACCCTGGAACTCGACCATCCCGCGTTCAATGTACTCTGGGTAATGTTCAAGCCAGTGCTGGACTCGTTTAGCAAAAGATATTGTTTGAAGAAAAAGCACTCACAATCTTCGCAGCTTCCACAGTCTCCGCCAAATCTTCAATGACGACTTTGTGGCAAGGATATCGTTGGGCGACTGCCAGCGGTGTTGACCCGACACCACTGCCTACATCAACAATGACGCTCCCTTCTGGCAACTGGCTCCAGTCGAATCCTGTTAACGTTAGTCGGGTACAGGATGGGTTTGAGGGTATCGCACCTTGAAATATGAGCTCGTGGCTTTGCGCAGACACGGTACTATGCATCGCCATGCCAAAACGATCTCGTCTGTACTTGTTCTCTGGTCGGTTATACCACTGAAAGATGGATGCTTCTTCAAAGCCAAAAGCACGTCGGAGGGAAACCGGTTCGCCATCCATATCGCGAATCGTCTCAGCGAGATTGGCAGACGCTTTGAATATCTCGTCACCACTATCAAGGCTGTTAACAAGAGCAAACTTGGAGTAAGAAGACGCACCAGAACTCGATTAACGCAGCAGTGCCTTGTGTTCCATGAACAGCACCAGTGAAGCGTTCCTCCCGACTAAGATTACGAGTACAGTTCAAGGACAACCCAAAGGAAGAGCGTGCTCACTTTTCCACAAGAAGTTTCGAGGCTTTCCCTTTGTCCATGGCCGACGAAATCTTGTTGTTGGCAAAAGTCCCAGGAGCAACCTCTCGGAAAATGTGCCAGGTAGACAGAGTCCGCAGAATTTGGGCTGGAGGACGTCAGTGGTATACTGGGCGTGTTGCGGAACCACACACCCAGCACGTCTGCACGAGCCCCCGCTTGGCCTCGCAATGTCCTCGACAGCGAGGCCATCCGGACCTGCCTCCCGCAATATCTCGACGACGTTGAGCTCTGAAGCCACCCTCACTGCAGAGCCGACGTGGAACTACTTTTAGCGTCAGAATAGCGAACGAAAGAAAGAGGGAAAAAAAACTGACGTAACAGGCAGTCAAGACTGCTGTATGAACTGGATTGCGGACGGTGGCAGTGATTTGGGCGGCGGCGGCAATGAGGATGGTGGTTGCGCTTGCCACCACTGGGTCAGCGCGCAAGGCCTCGCTCGGGGTTTGAGGGTCATATGGGTCATCCAGCACCGGCAATGGTGCTTTGGCAGCCGCGTAAGCACCCTCGATGGTGTCTACTGCCTCGGTCATGAGGTTGAGCAGGGCGCGTAGGGTGGAAACAGCCATCCTTGAGAGCGGGGAGGAATGGAGAATGAGACCCAAGCGTCATGAAGTGGTATATCGCGGTGGTGGTGTGTGTGTCAGAAGGCTTGGCCAAAATTGATGCGCTGATGATCGCTCGTAGATTCGCTCCTCGGTGAAGATCTTTCGACCCCCGAGCTCTTCTCCCGGCACCAGCTCACCTCGCCCGCCAGCGGCAACCTTCTTTGATTATCTCCAGAGTCCATCCAGACCGTGAGAGCAGAAAATCACTCGACCATGAATCATTCCCAAATAAATGATACCCGCCCCACAAGTATTCAATATTCTAATACTGACAAGGAACAAATAGCAGTCTGAAATAAATAGATATCACAGTAAATTAATTCTGCAGGAACCGCGCAACGCGCTCATCCGAAAAGATCCCAAAGTGCCCCACCCCGTCGAGCAATTGAACCTCCACATGCTTCCCCAACAGACTGGCACCAAGATCGGGCCATGCGCCTCCCCGACTCACGCGTTTGATGCCATTCTCTGCAACCAGAAGGGCGGCGGGTGCATTGAAAGTCGATAGCCACCGAATGAATGGGCTCGCAAGTGATTCGAGCGAGCACGGCTGGTCCGCGGGGTAGAACGAGCAGAGGAAATCATAAATGTGGCCGACAAACACCCGCGAAATTCGCGCATCTCGCAGATTGGTTGCGGGGACATCAGGGTTGCCGCGTGCTGCTGCCTCGTAGTTGGCTACAGCGACTGCCGGTATTGTTGGATCGTTTGTGAGCAGCGCAGTCACCTCCCCAGCCGCCAGAGCGACGTATTCAGCCTGGGTGACGGCCCGCAAAACACATTCAGCACCCTCCCGGAGGTAGAGCATCGGTAGGTGGTCGAGAAAACACAGCTTTGATACGACCTCGCCTGTCCCCTCCAGCAGCTTCGTCAGCATGACACCGTGAAGTGATGCTGTGCAAAAAGTGGCGATACGATACGGCCCCATAGGCTGCTTTTTGCGGATTTCATCAGCCCAATATTGGACTAAAACCTCCATAGAATCAAGGGGGGTCGAGTCTGTAATGCGAACCCCCCAAATCCGACCCTTGTAGTGTTGTCGAAGGCCATAAAATCGGGCAATCGACCCCGTTGCGCCAGGGAGAATAATAAGTGGCGTATCTGACCCGCCGCAAATTTCCACTATGGGCTGTTCCTGAGCAGCTTCGCATTCAACTTGAGAAGACGGCGTGGAAGAGAGCGTAGTGAGGAGCTCAACTAGAGCAAGAATGGTGGGGTGCGAGTAAACAAAGTTAGTCGGGAGCGATTTATAGTCGAGCTTGTCACCGCTAGCAGCAGCGTGAAGAATAGAATTGCGAATCCAAGTTGCCTGTAAACTTTACAATTGGTCATTAACAGCTTGAGCCTGACAATACTCGTGTGTTTACCTATCACATCCGTGTTGGAAGAGGTCGGCGTCGTCTGGCGGGAGCTCGGCCATGACCTCCCCGACAACCTTGCGTACAAATTCGAGACTCGATGTTGTGTCAAAGCGGACGGGTGACTCCAAGTGCTTTTGGAAGGAGTCTTCCACATCCTCGTATAATCTTGCGATGTCCTGGTCGTATGAATGCAGCACCCATTGGCGTGACGGGATGCCCTTAGCAGTGAGCTGCAAAGGCTTCGCCGAGTTTGCAACCAAGATCATCTGAGAACAAAGTCAGATGAATTTACCCCGTTTTGTCCTCCGCGTACCTCTTTAAAAATTCGCGAATGAGTGGGTGCTATACGATTGGCCTCCTCGACGCCGTCCCTATGTCGTTCATCAACGCACAAAAGACGATCCATCACCGTCTAACGTACCAGATCAATTGTCGGAACGCGGCAACTTGCGATAAATCACTCGGATCAACGCGCTCCTCATCCTCCGGAAACACGATCACGCCGGCGTGAAACCGTCCGTGTCCGAAAATGATGGCATGTTTGATCGCCGCGTGTTCGTTGAGGATCTTCTCTGCGCCTACAATCAGCGGCGCCCAACTCAAGATTGACATAAACTGTCCACACACCGATCGGGACGGGGTTCGTCTACGGGGATGTTTAATTTTACGGACGTCAAGGGAATCAATCAAGCACGCACCTTTTCGCCATTCGAGTGCACGATTTGGTCATCTGCGATGTATAAGACTATGTCTTTCCCATCCTCTACCTGACTTGCCTCTTCGCCCAAACACCTTCCAAAGACTTGAATTCGTCGGATGCTGGAGGAAGAGGTCCTTGGTATCGAGGGCATCCGCATCATCGAGGACAGTGTCGAGCATCGCTGGAGTGTGAGAGCTACATTTCTGGTAGGGCGGGCGCCTAGGTGAGCATAAGCAACTGGGCGATGACTAGACATACCTTTAAAAAGAGTTGATGGACGCCTGAGACGCCGGCATCTTCGATTGGTTTGAAAACGGGATCGGCATGGGGAGATAGCTAAATCGGTGCGTGGCATAAATAGAGCGAAATACTAATAATACAGCTGGCCGCACCTGGAACCAATCCCAGCCCTCTGTGGGATTCGCAGTTGGGATGATCATTGAGACGCCACTCGCCTCTGTCCTACGTCAGGCTTAATAGACTGTTGCTCAGGCTTGCATCAGAGGAGAGAAACTAACGAGCCATATTGATGTACAAGATGTACTCCATTGGCCACAAGATCGTCTCCAACGGTAGCTGTATTCTTGTCAGCGACACCTTCGAATGACGGGAGAATCATCCCTACGCCTCAAGGGTCCGCCACCGAAGATCTAGGCAGTGATAAGCCGAGGGCAAACTGGAATAGAATTGCTCACGACCGCTGTCAACTGACTCAGCAATGACACGGTGGGCGTATCCAAATGAAGCGTCTACCAAGGATCAGTACGAGCTAATATATGCATTTACAGCCGTTACCTCGAGGAATGTCGGCGTACAAACAAACATTGTGGAACCGGTCGCCCTGACTGCATTGAGGATAGCGTCGCTAGTAGGTGCTTTCGGCATTGGAGAAGCGGGAGAAAACGCCGCGAGTGCCATGCCGGTGTAGATCTAGAATCTAATTGCAAACGCAACCACTGAGTTTATGTGTAGCTTACCGCGTAAAGGAATTCATTCAGCCCAAGCATGTCTAAAAGCCGTATCCTAAGCGACAGCTCCACAAATTCGGGGGCAATACGTACGGCACATGGGAATGGTATGGACCTATAAAGCATCAGCATAGCGGTAAGGATAGACAGGGTAGCCAAGACATGCCGAAAGAACTTGACCACAGAGGTCTACCTCGCCATAGTCTGTCCTGCAATCAGCGAGCTGTGACAACACAAACGAGAAACATTGCTTACAAGGGGTAAGACCTGCTTCGCGGAGGAACCGGTGCGTAATGTGAATAATTTTGGGAAACGAAGTCGATCCTACAGTTCTAGGTCAATATGTCGACGCAAAAACGGTAGCGATAGGTATGCATACCGGAGGAATGCATAATGACGGCAAGGTCATCTTCGACCACCTTTGGCTGTGGAAATGAAGACAATTCACATGGAAGCTCGTTGGAGCCAAACAGCTCGTCGTAGGACGGGAATTCGAGGATATCAAGCGCCGTCCCCATGCGCTCTCGCACAGAGTTAGCGAGCTTAACTATAGAGCTATCGGAGCTGTTGACAAGAAGGTGGTGGCAAGCGGTCGACTCCAGAAGATGTGCAATAGCAGCATCCGAATTGCGCGGGGAAATGGGGAATGGTACGAAGCCTGCGAGGAGAAGCCCTGCAAGCCCGGTAAGGTAGGTTACTTGATCTAAAACTTGTGAGTATTGAGAGATTTCCTCGAGAAAAAAATGCTAACCAGTCGTTGCGAGAATACCAATGACTGTGCCCATGAAGGACAAACCGGTGAGCCGCGTAGAAAAAAGTCTCCCCATTCGGTGAAATGCACGATACGCTTCTGCCCAGGTAATATTTTTCTTGTCTCCTGATGCGTCGTCTCGGTAAACAAACGCCGGATGGGCCGGACTGAGTCTGGCATGGTGGGACAAGACGTCGGGGAGCAGTAGCAGAGCAGGGTCAACATCTGCGAGCGGAAGCGGCGTGAATGTAAGGGACATTGCGCCCTGCGGCCGGGGTGGTAGTCGTATGTGTAACGGCATTGCAATTGGCGGAGTCTCGAGGGATAACGACCGTGACATGAACATACAGAAGAGCGGTTTTCCAGTCTCAGCCGAGCATGTTCAGATACTTAGACCCTTTGGGACCTCCTACAAAAGTTCGCGATGTGCATCACGAGCCAATGAATCTTCCTAGACAACTGTATGAAGTCAGCGCCAGTCTTCCAGTGGCTGTTACTAACCGCTCAGCGGGGGTAGAGTGCGGTGCGACCTCAGCGCTCGTATGTGCACCGGTATCAGGCTTCTATCCATCGGTGATTCGCAGACGGTCGGGCAGCTCACCACACCAGCTGGGCTATACCAGTCAACTGGTTGTAATGGAGAAGAAAATGAGATCATGAAAATGATGTGACACCTGTCAAAACTGGGTGCAATTGCTTCTTAACCTTCGACGTCGACCTCACCACGTTGTGCAAGATCTGTCATCTCTCGAGTTGATCTTGCCACACATCGTCCCGCGTTACCCGAGCATGCTCCGCAGATTGCACGCCCATGATCTTCGAATTTCGAAGATGTAGTTTTCGCAAAATCGGAGCAGCTGATATTCTCCGTGATTCGCCGTCTGCCACCCTTCGACACCCTTCTATGTATCTTGTCTCAACTATCCCTGCAAGAGCGGGTCAGATTCCGGAAGCTGTGGGGGGGGGCACGTTTCGTTTTTGGTGCGAGAACATTAACGCGCGACCCTACCCTACCACCCTCAGAATGAGCCTTGCCCACTCGGACGCGGAGAAGCAACAGTCAGAGAAGCGCTCCTCCCAAGAGGTCGCCTTGACTCTGAATCGGAACGAGACAGAAGCTCACCAACACACCCTCGAGTTCCCGGATGGCGGTTTTCAAGCTTGGAGCACTGTTGTTGGAGCGTGCGTCGTCATAATAACATCTGTCTTTCCCATTTATGACTTCCATACTAGCTGGCTTGTCCTCTTCTCCACCTTCGGGTTCACATTTCCGCTATTTTCCACTCAATTTCATTTTCTTACTGTTCCACAGGTTTGCCTATGCATTTGGTGTCTTCGAAGACTACTACGTTCGGGTGTACCTTCCAGACAACAGTCCGAGTGCCATCGCGTGGATAGGCAGTGTGCAGTACATGCTCCCATACCTCCTGGCGCCGTTCGTTGGGCAGATTTTCGACAGTGGGGGCTTTCATAAGCTGCAAATATCTGGCGCAATCCTGTTCACGTTCTCGTCCGTCCGAGTTCCCGTTTTGCTGCCTGCTCATGTCTAACTTAATCTTCTAGAGTGTTCATGTTATCTCTGGCGAAGCAAAATAACTATTACCAGATCTTCCTCGCGTAATGCCACCTCTTCTTTCTCGAATTCTAATTGACTCATGTTTTTCAGACAGGGAATTGGTATGGGCATCGGACTCGCACTCACGTTCCTCCCTTCCGTCACGATAGTATTCCACCATTTCAAGCGTCATAGAGGGCTGGCATCCGGGCTCGTCCTGAGCGGCTCCTCCATCGGCGCCGCCGTTTTTCCGATTAGTATGTCCTTCATATTCTCGCCAGGCTTCCGTGACTGACAGATCCCTACAGTGATCAAGTAAGAACGGTGTTTGCACTGTCTCAAAAACTAACGCTTTCGCTTCAGCCACCTTCTCCCTCGACTTGGCTTCGGTAACACTTTGCGTGCCTGTGGAGCTATAATCCCGCCCTGCCTTCTAGTGGGAAATTGCCTCATGCGCACCAGGCTCCCGCCTCATGCAACACACAACCCCTTCGCACACGCAAAATCCTTCTTCTCTGAGCCCGCCTATGTTTTCTCCGTCTTCGCGTCCGTCCGCTCTGTTTCTCCCGTTGACTTCCATGTAACCTAACATAAACTTTTCCCAGCGTCTTCGCGGGCTTCACTGGGCTGTACTTCCCGGTGGTATACATTCAACTCTTGAGTATTCAACATGGGCTCAGCACCCATCTTGCGTTCTACGCCGTCACGATGCTCAACGCCTTCGGAACGGTCTTCCGGCTCCTTGGCACGCACGCTGCAGACCGCTATGGCCCGCTGGCCGTTATGATGGTCTGCTCTGTTGGCGCAGGCGGCATGATCTTCGCCATGCTCGGATTGTACGGTTCGCCTTCGAACTTGGGTTTCGTCTGATGCGGAGATACAGAACAAACGCGCCATCGTTGGTTATTATCAGCTTGTTGTACGGCTCGTTCTACAGCACCTGTGAGCTCCTCTCCTCTCGTAGTCGCTCACATCCGTTGACATCATATACGCAGGGCTCGCACTCGGATTCCCCTGTGTGGCTGTCCTAGCGAAAGGACCAGAAGAAATTGGGTGTGTTTTGTCTCGGCCTTTTCCTCATTGTGAGCGTCTCTCATCGACTGCCCATCTGCAGTGCCCGCGGCGGCATCGCGCTCGCCTTTGGAAGTATTGGCACGCTGATATCTGCGCCAATCCAAGGCGCGCTCCTCACGAAGCAGTTTCATTGGATTCGCCCAATTGTGTTCTCTGCGGTGGGTATCTGCCTATATTGTTAACAATGCAGTTGATGATGACGCAGACTGTCGTGCTGGTATCCGGTGTGGCCTGGGCGATGACGCTGTGGTTACATTCAAAACGGATGAGGAGGGCGGCAAAGGAATAAGAGGATTCAGAGTGCACTGAGGGCAAAAGCTTGTGATTGTGAAAATTTTAAATACAAATCCCAATGACTTGAAGACAAGACAAGACAAGTATATTCACAGTGCTCCTACGTTACTTGCTGGTAACTGCTAAACTTTTTGTCGTTCTCAATTTCAACTTTCAAGTTTCCTCAAGATTCCTTTTCGAAGCCAAGAGCAGGAAGAATTCCTGTCTAGTCAGTCTGTTTGGATGGCTCGAGCCCAAATGCAAGTATGGCATAATCATCTCGGAATTGCGTCTTGATACTAGTAGTACAAAAAAAGCCTTTACAACGAGTGCCCAGAGAAAAAACACAGGATACAGACAACCACATGAAAGGCTTTTAGAGGGGTTATTCACGAAGTCACGGTGGCGTACGTAGGAAAATACGTACCTATGGACACACATCCGACCCAATACTACCCTTGGCGTCGGCCTCTTCGGCGTTGCCAAGCTCTGCATCCATCCTTCTCCGTATCCTTCTCGGTCGGCGCGCTAGCCGCAGTCTCCTCACGCCTTCCATCGTGCCAAACACGACGCCCGCACAGCCGGTCGTGACCTGCAAAACGTCCAGCGGCGACAGGCCTGCCAGCGTGTCGAGCAGCTGTCCCGCCCAATACGGCGCGGTCGGGTGGGCGGTCAGGAAGAGGCGGAGGTAGTATTCGACCGCGTAGAGCAGCGCGAGAAGGACGACAAAGGAGAGGAGGACGGTTATCGTGAACTCCAGGAGGAGCTGGCTGTCGTCAGCTGATTTTCGCCTTGGTGGCGATTTGAGGCCTGTCGTCGTGCTTGTCGTTGGCGCGGGTGCGGGCTGGCCAGCGACTGGGACAGGGACCATGGTGGGGCGCTTGTCGAGGGCCTGGGGCTGCATGGGGCGGGGAGAGCGTAGGAAGGATATCCGCCCGTCTAGCCTCTGGGTCGTGTGCCCTTTTGAACTAATCGCGCTCATCGGTCGGGGAAAGCTAGGGCTTGGCACGGAGCAAACGTCCAGCGGGGGCAATCCTACTGCTGCTCGACAAGTCAGTGGAGCCAGGTGTGTGGCGATACGTGCTCACTGCAGGTGCCGAATGACGACGCGAGACAGGCAGCGCTCCGCAGACGGGAACGACGGTAGGGGTAGGGAAGAAAGGTGCGGGGAGAGGAGATGGGCACATGGACAGGTGGGAAGACTCCGAAGAGATGCGGCGGCGGCAGTGATGTCGAGTCTTGACATTCGAGAAGTCAGGCTTCGGATAAACAGACATCGTGCTGGGAAGATGCAAAAGGCAAAATCTTCGCACACGCGTCAGTACGTTGATCCGTTTGAGAACCGGAAACCTCAAGAATTTATTAGCTATAGCCCTCCAGCTGTTTAATCCTCCACATTTGTAGTTCAGCGGAGAAATAACAAAGTTGCAATATTATAATCAATATTCACATGGATATTATATTATACCCCCGAGTCGAAGTACTAAAAAAAGTCCTCCGCGTCTACTGCTCTGCAGCAGCGACCGTGACGAATCCATCGCGCCCCTCGACGCGCCCCAGCGTCACCTTCTCATCCACCCGTTCCCTCACCTGACTTTTCTGCACACCATGGAAGACATCCTGCATCCCGCCGGCCGCCGCGGCGGACATCAGCAGCCACGGATCACCCGCGTCGAACTTGGCATGGCTCACGGGCACGCCGGCGTTGTACCACTGCGCGACCAAGGCAACCGCGATGGTGACGGCCGCAAAGACGAAAATCGGGATAAGCACGAGGGTGCTGGAGCGCGACTTGTATTCCCAGCCGAGCGTCTGGACAAACGCGAAGCCCGTGCTGGTGCGCAGCTTGTCGGGCGTGAGGCGGCCCTGTCGCTGGAGCTCCTGCGCAAGGCGGGTCTTTACCACCTAAGAGCCATCAGCGCATGGTCAAAACAGGTAAGCACTCCTCACTGTCGCACTCAGCTCGACCAGTCCTGTCATATATGACTCCTAGATCTGAATTTAAAGCAATGCTCTGCATTATGAAGCACCGACAACTCACGATGATTCGCGCAAAGTTCGCCATGTCTGCTGGATTGTTGACATCGACAGTGTCAAACGCACCCTGCTGCGTCGAGATGCTCACGAGCGTGTCGCCAATGATATTGCTGTCGGCCGACTGTCCATACGCAATTGTATTTTGCACCGATCTAAGGCTCAGCGCACCCATCGTGCCGAGCGGGAACGGGACCACATCGGGGGCATTATAAAACTCTGTGCTGATGGAGTTTCCCGAGGTATAGTTGGAGAGGGTGACTCGAATGGAAGTGGTCATCTCGCAGACAAAGTCGCCAGGATAGATACCCTGGCCGTCGACAACCATATCTAGGCATCTCCGTTTTAGTGGGACCCTGAGATTCAGCAGATAACTCACAAAAGGTCGGACCCGCAGGATGGTCGCATTTCTGCTGGAACACATAAAAGGTGCTATTCCGGTCGTCGGTCATTATAGCTGGAGGAGATGGCTTTAAATGAAATGCCAATAAGAAGAGCAAGGCAGAATCGTACTTTGACCAGAGTCGCAAGCTGTTCTAATTCCCCACAAGAAGCTATCCGGCAGGTCGGGATCATTGACGCGTTTTGCGACTCGAGAGATGGGTGGGTTGAGCGTTGCAAATGTGGAGAAGGCACACGAAACGTCCAGCTCAATGCCTTGCTGCTCCATTACGACGAATGCGTCTGCAAGAGAGGTTGATGGCGGGAAAGCAGCGGTGTTTACGACGTTGAAAAGCCCGCTGTCTTCGGCCAGTTTTGAGGTATCGCTTAGGGTGAGATTGAGTGGGACTATGCCACCTAAGATGAATGCTGTAAGCCTTTCGAAAGAATGGCAAAAAAAGAGACACGGACATGTGGACAATGCATGGGTGTAATTTCCAAACTCAATCACGCCCGGCTGGCTAACGTATGCGCTCGCTGACGCGTAGCCGCTTGCCATGAGAGCAGGTATGATGTCGAAATTGTTGACTGGGTACTCAAAGTCAGCTATCGTGTGATCGGAAAACATCATATTTACTGGATTGATAGACCGTTTCTGTGAGATTCGCCAACTCGGCCTGTGTGGATGTGGAGTTCAAGTCGAGTTCATTCGCAATGATCGGGACGAGGACAGTAATGCGGCTCGGTGTAAGCAGCGAGGACCATCTTCACGGTTTCTCAGCTCGATTATTCAAATAGAGCAGGGGAAAACGCACCCTGGTGTCTGACCTAGTCCCAGAAGGAAGACGAAAGCACTGGCGATGAACCAGTTCTTGTATGCGGGGTCGAGAATGACCGACTTCTTGGACAGCTTGACGCCAAATCCAATGGCAGAAATCGGGAGCGGACGGGTAAGGGCAACGATGAGCGCGTGCCTTACAGCTTCGGCAAAGAGGCTGCAGAACCCATGAGCCCTTCATAGTCAGTGGTCACGATCAATGCGCCAGAGTGGCCACTCACAAGGACGAGAACATCGACAGCGCGGTGGCTACGGTCGTGAAGGTGTACGTCTGCACCTGCGGGTTGCTCTCGAAGAACTCGACTGGCTGCTTGCCCATCGGGATCTGCTTCTTATGGCGCACGGCGAGTAGCACGGACAAGGCAATGACCACGAGCATGATTTGGCCACCAACGATGAAGCTGAGCCACGCAACGCGCCTGTTCCACGTGTATGAGTATCCGCTGAAGCTGGGACTGAAGTACACGCACTTTGTCTTCGCCTGCTCGCCAGGCATCTGCTTCTCATCCGTCCCAGTCGACGAGTCGGAGTTTGCCCGGGATTGGTGGTGGAGATGCATGGCGAAGTAAAGAGGGCGCCAACTCCAAGCTCCGACCAACAACTCAGTCAGTTTAAAGGACACCAGCTTGTTTTTCGGGCCGATTAGGCAAATGGCTCCATCTTCTTCGGCGTCGAGCGCTCGGTTCGCAGAGCTTAACGCAGAGTGTCCCCCCTAATTGATGTGTCAAGCACAGGCCATGGCCAGCCGAGAACAGGTAGCGGTACAGGTAAGTAACGGAGGAGACGAAAAATAAAGAGGGTACTGTAGATGAATATCATGATCGATGATGTGACAAGTAATATTTGATTGGTCACCAGATTGGGCACTAGGAAAATTCCAAACTTACTTTTTTCCTCATTCAAACATGGGTTGAGTGTAGACATTTTGATTCATGTTTCCATATAGAAGAAATAAAATATGTCTATTTTGATATGTCTTTCACTGGGTACTTATTTAGCTTTCTGTGACTCACAAAATAATATCTTTGAGAGAGGGATTGCATCAGGAAAAAGAAAAATTCTCGATAGCTGTCACCAAATGCTGGAGAGCACCAGTAGCCTCGGTAGGCCTGGTAGTATTTAGCGTGCATCTATGTATTGTTGGGTAGCTCCGGGTATCACCACACAGATCTGCCTGTAGATGCTGATAGCCGAAGGCCCTTGACGATCACCATGATCATGCAGCTAATATCCTCGAGAGTTGCCAACTATGTAATACACTACCTACTTATGGTGTACTGGGGTATATATTCTCATATTTGACACCCTGGTTCATTCCAAGGTTGCAAGACAACTTCCAATTTCTTCTAAGTCCGAATTCACATGTCGATCGATTGCGTGCTTGATGTGATTGATGGTCGCGCTGTCATATAAAGTGGCGTGATTTTCGTCAGCAACACTTCACCTTTCCCCCTCATCTTCCCCCCCCTTCCGACTGTCCCTTCCCCCATCCGTCCATCCATCCGTCCACCCTTGTCCCCCGGCCTACCGCCATTCGTGGCTACCTGACTGCTGCTACGTATACCATGTGGTGTGTGTGTGGTTGTCCTGCCCGCCTCCATGCTAACATTTTTAGAAGTGCTCGTTGCTGCCCTCAGCCGTATGGGTGAGTTTTCGTCGCAGCTAGCATTCATTTTCTCATCAACAGTCCAGCTCTCTCGCCTCCCCTCATGTGCTCCGCTGCCCGCAAACACATCCGCCTTCAACCCCCCTCTTCGCTACCTCTCATCTCCGTTGTCTTTGAGCTTCATCGTCAGTTTATCGGGGTTGGTCTCAGCAGGGCCGAGGGGGTGGATGAGACCCGGGGTTGGTGGTGTGGGGCATGGGTGGATTTCATATGTTCAGGTTGTGTTTGTTGTAGCGTACCTCCAAGTCAATGCAATGCAATCAATTTTTATGTCCTCCTTCGATGAATATAAGCACTGGCCTAGGATGAGTAATCAATTCTATTCATGACTACCATCAAGTTCGGTGGCAGCTAGCCGATGCTACCCAGTACTACCTAGACATGACAGGTGATTGTGGTAGCACTACCTAGTGGGGTACTTGTCTACCCCACTACCCTATCTACTACGACTATCGAGCACTACAGGGAAAAGTTCTTTTTCCCTGATGTGAAAGGTTATTTCAGAGCTGACATTTCTATATAGCTTTCAATACCTCTGCCTATGTGTTATGAAGGATATATCTTTATTCTCTTTGGGATGTTTATATTCATGTTTGTCTGTAGCATAAAGAACATTTTTGTGCAAGGGGTATGTGAGTTGGACCAGAGATGGAGCCGTCCAGAGGGTTGGAACCGGGTTATAATATGAATAATTATAAATTGTAAAGTCTCCCAACTTTTCAGTAAGGTAGACGACATTTGACTTCATCAACCGTGACTGATGACTGATTTACACAGCCACATGTGAAATTTTGAAGAGAGATTTTTCAGATAGCACTGTAATAAGCAGAAAACACCAAATAAACACTTGAACTTTTTTGGGGCAAAAATTATACTTAGCTGAGGGTTCATGTTCTATCACCTTAGCTGAGAGCTTAAAAGTCTGTTTTCAAGCTTATTTCAATCTATCTATAATGTGTACAAGTCAAGTCCGATGACATGATAGGAAGATCATCCCCAGTGAGAAGTCGGGAGGCCCAAACGGTATAGAGTGAGACCAAAACAGCTATATTCATTATGTCTCACTTTGTCGCGTTTGATCAAATTTTTGTCCTAAAATCCAGTGATTTAGAGGCATGAATTGAGACCGAATGTCTACAACAATACAACTGTCCCGTTTGATAACATTCCATACAGCACTTGCTTTGCGGATACCCGGATGAAATGGGATATAATGTGATGTATTGAACACTACCATAATACACCAGTAGCCTGCTATTCATTTAACCCTCCCACAGTGAAATCACCAGCTCCCCTCCCTGTCTCCCACAGACCACAGCCCCCTCAACCATGCAGCGCTGCAGTGGCCGTGGTGCCATCAAGTGTGATGTTGGGCCTAAACATACCCAGTGAGATACTGTAGTAATTTATTCAATTCAGCAGTCACGCGTCACACCGGCCCTTCGATGCCAAAATATTTCGGCGTGTCACGGGCCCACAGCCGGATGCCGAATGTCAAACAACCATCAAAAAAATTTTGGCGGCCCTCTGGGCCGCTCCAGTATGCCGAAAATTTTCGGCGGTCACACACATTGACAGGAGGCGCCGAAAATTTAATTTTGGCACCAATGTCACACCCTTTTGGCACGCCAAATTGAATAAATTGCTACAGTATGGTATCTAACTACAAGGCTTCGTGAGCCTGCTGCAAAAATTGGAGGTGAAAGAAACATACCTAACAAACACCTGCAGCTCGTCTTCTAGAACACACACACCTTGGAGGTACTCATTAGCAGGCTGTGAGTGAGCAAGAGAAACAACATACCCAGCGAGCTACCCATGCCACTGTCTAGCATATATCAACTCTTTCACCCTCCCATGCTAGAAGGCCAACATCTTGAGTAGGACAGCATAACAAACACTAGCATAGGAGGGAAGGCCTGGAGACCCGGGGAGGGAGGTGGAGGAAACATGGTGGAAAGAGGAGAAGAAGGTGCTTGGGGCAGTGCACAACATGGCACCATTTTGAATCTTTCTGATGACATACAGATTGATGCAATGGTGATGTTAGTGGACTTGGGGCAATTTCAGACAAGAATTGCACTTCAAAGAAGAGTTGTGGATGATGGAATGAGACTAAATTATGAGAGCATCAAAACTACACACAATTTATCCCAAATGATTACATTGATCTGACATGTGCTGTCAGATTTTCGAAAACAACCTCATTCTATACCGTTTGGGCCCACCGACTTCTCACTGGGATCGATCATCTCAGATGTGATTACATACACGTGACAATCAGTCATGTGACATGACATGTAACATGCGAATATTTTGTGATCCTTAAGATGAAAATGCTCAGAAAGCCAAATAATAGCTAGAAAAAAAACAAGGAATAGTTTCCTAAAGAGGAAGGCATAACTTGGTCTTTGGGGGCAGATATGGAAAATTTAAACCTACAATCTGCTCAGGCCACTGAATGCTTCATTTTCTAGGTTTTCAAATTTCTCTAACTTATTCCCTCATGACGGAGTAAGGATGTCACGGATTTTGATGCCATCACTCGATGACATCAAATGTCGTCTACCTTATGTGTAGACAGGTTCTCATCAGGACTCAGGGGTCCTCACTTATAGGGTCATGGGCTTATGTAGGTCTATTGGTGGGACAGCAAGGGTATAAGCATAACCATTATATTTTTTTTGGAAACTTGCAATGTTTATAATATTAATATTTTGACTCCGAGGCAGTAAATTATTACGTGTGCCATAGTTTGATTACATGGTCTTGTAAGCAACGGGCCACTCTCCCTACCTTATGAGCGTAGATCGTTAATCTGTCCTTATAAGGGTTTTTCCCGGTTTCCGACATCATTCATGTTGGAATTTTTTTTTTTGCCTGAAAATGCCAAATTAGGCAATTTAAGGCTGGAAGGCAAATCCGGCTTAAAAGGCGGTTCATATTTCATAAGATCGTATCATTCTGCCAAATTGACGTGATCTTGCCAAGATGCGGCAATCCTGCCAAATTAGGCCAACTTTATATGGCATTTTATACTTTGACGTCCACTTACAATATAACCCAATCTTTGCAAGAGAGTGTATTCTTATAAGGCATTTTAAAACTGAGCATTATTAAAAGGCTATATAAGGTGTCCTGTAGTCATCCAAGGGGGCCAAAAAAAAGTCAAAAGGAAAGGGCTCCTTTTTGTAGTCATTTGTTACAGTAGTGATTACTACTAGCCATTATTTGTTATACTGAACTGAAACCATGTAAGGAAGTAATGAAGGAGGAAATTGAGGACTTATAATGTGTTTACAGGAGGATTTGAACCGAGGGTACTACAATACAGGAAAGGTAAAAGACAATCTAGACTACATATTGATTTATAAAAGAGAAGAGCAGAGCATTACATCACTTTCCGGGGGGTGTACTGATGGGTGGTAAGCAACAGTCAATGCTCTGATACCAGTGGCTGCAATACGAAAAGCTCACACATAAGCTTCACTGCCAGTTAGATTCATAAGTTGTTGAGTGGGGGTTAAGTATTTAAGGCTACAGGGCTGAGATCGATGTAAAGCGAGCAAAGTACTTTTGGTGTCTAGGTTAGGCGTCATGCAATATAGAACCACATCGGGTATTTACTCCTTCTCATCCTTCTTGTCGTCGTCCTTCTTCTCCTCAGCGGGCGCTTCCGATGACGCCACATGTTCAGCGTTCTTCTTCTCGTAGACATTTTGGAAGAGTCCGAGTGAGGCAACCTGGGTTTCGTCCATCTTGGTCTTGATGGCCTCGGGCGTGATAGAGCCGTCGCGAGCCTGAGCTTGGAGCGCAAGAGCACAGAGCTCGCCAATGAGTTTGATAATAATACCTTCTCCTTCTCAGCGGCATCAAGTTGGTCCTTGAACTCGTTGACCAACTTCTCGGTGTCAGCGCAGAAGGAATCGGCCTTGTTGAACATTTCGATGAGGTTGCGGCGTTCCTTGTCCGACTCGGCGTATTGCTCAGCGTCAGAAACCATTCCTTGCTTAGACCCGAAGAAGAGTCAATGGTCATAGACTGGTCCTTTTCAGTAGCCTTGTCCTTGGCAGAGACGTTGACAATACCATCTAGTAACACGTTGATTAATTTAGATGGCGAAAAAAGAGAGATAGACCTACCAGCATCGATGTCGAAGGTGATTTCGATTTGGGGAACACCTTTGGGAGCAGGAGGAATGCCAACCAGGTTGAAGTTACCGAGGCGCTTGTTGTCTGCAACGAGTTCACGCTCGCCCTGGTAGATCTTGACCTCGATAGCAGTTTGACCGTCAGCGGCAGTCGAGAAGACCTGCGACTTTTTGGTAGGGATGGTCGTGTTGAGAGTGATGAGCTTGGTCATGATACCACCGAGAGTTTCGATACCTGTGATCACCCCGTCAGTCTGACTCCAAAAGACAGAAATGGAGTAACTTACCGAGGGAAAGAGGCGTAACATCCAAAAGCAGAACATCCGTGATGTTGCCGGCCAAAACACCACCTTGAACACTAGCGCCAATAGCGACAGCCTCGTCAGGGTTGACACCCTTGCTATGCGACCGAAAACGCTCTTGAAAGTCTCCGTGACACGGGGCATACGGGTTATACCACCGACAAGGATAACCTCGTGGACATCGCTGGGCTCGACGTCCGCAGCCGGACAGGGCCTTCTTGCAGGGAGTGACAGTGCGTTGGATGAGGGAAGAAGTAAGGGCCTCAAATTGCGTACGGAGCAGTTTCGTGTTGATATGCTTGGGACCAGTTGCGTCGGCGGTGATAAACGGCAAGTTTATTTCCGTCTGGGCGGTTGACGAAAGCTCAATTTTGGCCTTCTCTGCCGCTTCACGGATACGCTGGATGACCATCTGATCGCCATTGAGATCGATACGGTGCTCGGATTAAATTCCTTGAGGATGCGGTCAACGAGGAGAATATCGAAGTCTTCACCACCATTGACAAGATGGGTGCCACCGTTGGTGGACTTGATTTTGTAGACGCCGTCATGCATTTCGAGGATGGAGATATCGAAAGTTCCACCACCAAGATTGTAAACAGCGATGATTTTGGCTTTACTGTCTTTGTCCAGTCCGTAAGCGAGAGCCGCCGCCGTGGGTTCGTTAATGACATGAAGGACATTCAGTCCATCCAGCAATTTGTCCAGCATCCTTAGTAGTAGCTTGCCGTTGAGCGTCGTTGAGATAGGCCGTGAAGCTGGCTGAGGCTGGCTTGCGGGAGTAGGTTGTGAAGTTGGAGCAGTTAGACCAAAAGAAAATGCAGATGGTTTGGCTGCAGCTGGCTCTGGCGCCTTTGCTGGCGCAGTTGGTCCAAACGAGAAAGGTGAAGCAGGTGTAGCAGCAGGGCTCACAGCAGATGCGCTCGTTATAGCCGGGGCTGGAGTTGAGGCCGTTGCGGATGCAGCAGGTTCAGCAAAAGGATTCGTGCTTGCTGGAGGAAACAAGCTCGTTGCTGTAGCTTGTGGCGGTTTGTCACTATGCAGACCGCTGACTTTTGAGTTCGAAGGAAGTTGGCTTGCTGAAGAGCATAAGAGAGGATTGAGTAACTAAATATGATGACTTACGGCTGGCCATGGCACCGTGAAGGGACTCTGAATCAACAGTTGACCCCACTTCAATTTCGCCAAGTTCAGTCCTCCGTTCTGCCCTCCCCCCCCCGCAGTTCCATTTGTGCTTTCCTCCCTTCCAACCAAAGAACCCCAGACTGCCGTTTCATTTCGCAACGTCTGAATCCTCGTCGGCGTCGTCGTGTGGTGGTGGTGGTTTGTTAAGAAGCATTGACATTGACATGATTTGATCCGAATCGAAATTGATCACATGCCTGCTTGTAGACGCGTTCGTCGCGAACGCCGCACGCGCTGTGCCCGTAAAATCTAAACACAAGTAGAAAAGGGCTTGCACAGATTCAATTCATGTTACTAGTAAGTCCGTCTTACATGTCAAATAATGTTAGCAGCAACAATATCAAGTACCATTGACAACTTCCTTCAGCCACTAATCAGAACCGCCTTCGACAACCACTCGGCGTCGAGGAACAGGTCGAGGCCGTGGTGGGGGTGCCAGTGGGATGCTCTCTTCCTCGACTTCGACGACTGGGACTTCGCGTTCCTTGCCTTTTCTACCCACCCCCGCGCCACGACCCTTGCCACGAACACCTCTTTTGCCTCCTCGAGCTCTAGCTCCACCTCCTCGAGCTCTTTTCGCCTGTGCGACAGCAAGAGTTTCTATTTCTCCTCCGTCGTCGCTCTCGGGAGGCTCAGTCAAGGCGCTCATGGTGGAAGCGATCGAGAGTGCTCCGCGCGGCATGGCTGCGGGGATTAAAATGGCTGCGGCGTTGGAGGACGATTGACGTGGTACTCGTTGACTGATATTCTCTGCTAACTCTATGACGGATTAGCAGAATCACTTAGACTGCTGAACACGAAAACTTACCCGGATCCTGGCTCGTGCCCGCAAATTCCGGACTGTCATCCACCCACAACCCAATGGAAGCGTTGAAGTATTCTCCAGGCGTGACAGGTGGTAGCATTGGCCGTATATCGTCTTCATCTAGAGTGACATCTTGCATCATAGCATTGAAGTTTTCGTCCTCGTCCGAGTCGTCTGGATGGAGAGTCGGGGAGATAAGAAGACTCGACACCGCCGATACGCCTGCGAATGTGATATCCTTCCAGAAAGGCAGGATTCGATTCTGCATTCGAGGAGTTTCCCAGTTCATCCGCAAGTTTCGAACAACCTTGTCGAATATAGCACCCAGATTTAACTTGCTGAGACGCCCAATTTCTTCGAAATTTTCGCTTTTGCCTGTGGTTTCTGTGTAAAGGATATGAATCATCTATATTCGGGTGAGTTTGGATTCCAAAACGGGTTAATAAGGCTGACCGTGATGACAGTCAAGCCCATTGCGCCAACGGTTGGATCCTTCACACCCCATTTAGCTCCCAAAGCCTTGCCCGAAGGAGCACTGCGACCATCGCCTTTCAAGCTCGCTCGAGAGAAGAGTATATATCGAAGCACCTGTAAACGAAAAATCGATCAAAAGCCTGTGGCGCAATTATAGCGGGTGACTTACGAATGGACCCAATGAGTTGAGGTAGCGGTCCTTCTCCTGTTTTCCGAGGTTTCGACGTAAAAATGGTGGGAAGGCGGTTTGGGGCGGTTGAGATGTATCCTCGCCAGCATGGTATAGAAGTTTTTTGTAGTCGACGGACTGGAGACCAGCGAGCTCGACAAGTCGAGGGAGATTCTGTCGCAAAGCCGTTGATGATGTTCGATCGTTCGGGCGCTTTGATGATGGAGGAACTTGAACAATGTTAAGAATGAAAAATCTCGTGTCATTCTGAATAAACCTACCTCCTTCGCAAATCCAGGGAACAGCGCAGCATTAACCAGCTTGTGGAGTTGTTCGGGGACCGCCATATAGAGTTCTTCCGTTCGGTATGCTGAGAGTAGAGCAGGATTTCCGTATACATCTTTGACGTTCGCGGCCCCTTGGATTGATGGGGGATTAGTTGGACGAGCGGTAAAATTCGGTTGTCGAAGGAAGGGGTAAAAGAGGATAGTGTGCTTTTTGCCGAGTTCCATCGCCAACGCCTTGTAATCGAGGATATTTTCATTGTCTAAATCGTCTGTTTCCTGCCCAGTAGAGATTGATCCTCCATTGATAGTCGACGCTGGAGCCGTCTGTGTAGGTCCAGATCTAGTAGAGGATGCCTGAAGGGCCGCCAGCTGCTGCTGGAGAGCATCGATAGTCTAGAAAATTTGACGATTTGAGATATGTCAATGTGGCATGGAACCAGAGACTTACCTTTCGGTAGTCATCCTCTTTCGCACCCGACCTTGGCTGAGTGAATTGATAATCCAGTCGGGGATGAGAGGCCATGCTCGAGGGATCAGTCGTCGTTACAGTGGAAGCACAAAGAGAGATTAAATGTGTTGTTGATGCAATCAAACCGACCCTGGACCTACACAATGTTCTAATTATATCTAATAGGTCGAATCCTTCTCCGAACTCCTTGAGGCCAATTTGAAAGGAAGACAGAAAACCTGTGAACAACCTAAGTTATCATTTTTACAAGTCTCCGGGCCCAAGTATACTCTATATCTCGCAGCGTCAGTGTGTCTTGCGCCTCTGAATCTGCCAATTTATTGCCAGTAACCAATCAAAAACCCTCCCCAGTTCAGTGCAGATGGAGGTCAACGACTGCACGACAACCGGAAGGATAGTGACGTTTCTGCGAATTGCGTCGGACGTGAAGCTGGAGAGGCGACAAGGATGCGACAGTTGTCAAGTACCGATGAGTCCATTGACACAAGGTTGACGTTGAGTTGGCGATTGAGAAGCTTTGAATCAACGTTAGCAAATGTTATACAAAGAGACAGAAAATATACCTGCATTGCTCGAACGATCTTGCCGCTTAGTAACTACATGATTAGGCAGCGCTCGTGAGGAGTTGCGGACACCATGCTCCGTCTGGGTGATACCTGGCGCTAAGCCTGACAAGTCTTCATCTGGGGTAGCATCCTCTTCGACCGCTTTCATGGCCTCCGCCCCTCCGGCATCTGCGTCAAGTTCCCATCCACTTTCTTGAACACTGACCAGATCAACTTGAATATCGTCTGGAGTTTCCCTCGCCCACGCGTCTAGCTCGGATGAAGCACCAGCAGTAGCACCGAGAACAGCTCGCTCAGCACGAACAGTCTTGTCTTCACCGAAGGAAACGATAAGCTGGTTGGGGTGGAAAAGGGCCGTCGCAACGTTATTGAAATGGTCGCGGTAGGAATCGACCTCCCATGCTTTGGTCTCGCTCATCCGCCAGCTTTTAATGGTGCGATCTTCGGCAGCAGAAACGATGAGAGGGAGAGTGGGATGGAACGTGGCATAGTTGACACCACGGTCATGACCTTCGAGTATATATTTGACAGTCGAGAAGGTATCGAGGAGCTCGAAGTTTCCGGAGCCTGTGCTGGTATTCGAAAAGCCTGAGATGTCCCACATGCGAACAGTCTGGTCAACGGCGCAGCCGCCAACCAGCGATCCACGATCGCAAGTAAAAACAAGCCGAAACACGCTCCGAACAGCGCTGCCCTGGCTTTGGGAGCCTATTTTTCGAAGTAAACGGTGTCGCCAAGGGAAAAGTGCAGCATGGTCCCGTTCTGAATCGCCATAGGCAGAAATGACCAGATCGTCTTTCGGAGCAGGCGTAACATAGTGAGAGTGACTGGTGAGTATTGTGGTGTGGCTTCGGGATGTGCTGCTCCATATGTGGATTGTATGGTCGTCAGAGGCAGATATCTAGAAGGCCAGTTAGATTGAGGAAACGTCGCCTTTTATGAAAAGGCAAACATACGATCCGTGAGCTTTCGTGGTGATATTGGACAGTCCATACAAAGTCAGGGTCGGAGCAGAGAGCAATTTTGTAGTCTTCGGCACTAGCAGCCAGCAGGTTGCATCTAGAATCGAGCTCTGAGTTAAATTGAGAAATGAGACGAAAAAGCTGGAGTGAGATTGACTAAAAACACACCGTGGTTCGCTCGGGGATGGCTAGCGAGCATCCTCAGTCGACAGTCATGGGATAGCCCCGGAGTGGTATGGTTTTGCTGGTCCGTAGATGGTCGACACGGTCAAAGAAGAGACGATGATTGACACACGTGATTTGAATCATCCACCGATTCCAACTCAACTACTCCGATGTTGACAGCGAAGGACTGCCCAGTAGATCCCGCCAACCACCTTTGTCGAATCTGCCAGCTCTGTCAACAGTCCGTGAGGTTCCAGGGTCTGGGCAGCCACCTGAAAGGGTGCAACAAGCGAGTTGAAGAACAACGGAAAACGGCTGCCTTTCTACGAGCTCTCCGAGCGGAACGTATGTCTCCATGGGCAAAGTTCAAATACCATGAAGACTGAATAGCTCTTTGGCTTCTCCAGTACAAGTCAGCGCTCCCAGAGGTCAGTTTCAAGCTTTTTCAAATCTAAATTGTTCGCTCATATGATTCAGAAATTCCAAGTCTGAATCCCCAAGCCGATCCTCATGGAACAGAACAATATCCTCCGGACGACTCAGGTACAGATAATAATTCGACTCTCACAGTCTCACTTACTCTCTAGAACTTGCGCAAGTTGCGGACGAACCTCTACCTATTATCAACGATGGCGATACTCTGCCCAACGATGGCGATACTCTACCCGAAGCACCACAGCCCGAAAAAGACGATATCAAACGCGAATTTCATCCACACAGCGGCTTGCCGACCCAATACATCGCTCTCAATACATACATCCAGCTGGAGGCATTGGGGGCAACAAGCCGACCACCACCAGTCTCTGAACCGTGGTTACCATTCGATACACGACTGAATTACGAGTTTGCCGACTTCGCGAACACAAACATGCTTGACAAGAAGGCAGTCAATGCTTTGATATCGCTCATCAATCGTGTTGCTGCGAGCCCAGCCCAATTCACGGTCAAGAACTACGACGACCTGAATAAGAGATGGGAGCAGGCATCTCAACTCTGTACAAGTGTGAGTTGGTCGTGTTGGCGATGCTGCTGTCGCTCACAACTTCCCTTAGTTCAAGGAGTATACAGTCGAAGTGGAATACAAAGGGCAACCAAGAACATTTGAGATGCACGCTCGTCCTTTGTGGGACTGGAGCCTCGACTTGGTGCAAGATCCTCGGTTGGCTCCATACTTCTTCTGGGATGCAGAGCGACGATTTCGATTCGACGGGACATCATGGGTTCCGTTTTACACCGAGCCATGGACTGGATCAGCCTTTTGGGATGCACAGGTAAAGCTTACGCCTATCGTTCTCTACTTCATTTACGAAATGTGACAGTCTGCTTTAGACTTCAACCCCGACTACAAAATACTACCGTTCATCCTTTACGCCGACAAGGCCAAGCTTTCCACCTTCGGTACCCAGAAAGGATACCCGATCATCGCGCGCCTTGCAAATGTTACTGTTGGTATCCGCAATGGCACTGGCTGGGGAGGAGGACAAATCGTAGGATGGCTTCCGATTGTAGGTCGTGTTCTCTGTTTTCTTCCGAACTGATAGCTTAATCATCAACCAGGTCGATGAAGATGCAAACGAGTCGGGGAAACCAGGTTTCACAAATTTCAAGAATGCGGTATGGCACGTTCTATAAACTACTCGAGGACATGGCGAAGCACTCCAACATTGGAGTCTGGGTTCGATGTGGGGACGGCAAGATGCGCAAAACTATTTCCTATGATCCTGATACTTGCGGCTGACTACGAGGAAGCGTAAGTCGTGCCTATATTGTCTATATTAGCATCAATGCTCATTTACCACTCTTAGTGCTGTTATGGCTTTGATTCGGGGTGTTCGAGCCCTGTATCCTTGCCCTATCTGTTTGGTCAAGGCAGAAGACCTCTCTCGGCTTGATTTAGCGGCTCCATTGCGATCAACAGAAGACTCTGAAGCGGTCTATCATAAGGCTGCTTCTTGCAAGACTGTCGAGCAGCGGGAGGACGAATTGAAAGCTGTCGGTCTTCGTAATGTTGAGGTAGTGTCTGCTATCCTTTCCGTTCTGTCCTCTCTTGAGCTCAATTGCAGAATGTTTTCTGGAAAGTTGGACTGTCCGACCCTTATCACGCACTCTCTTTCGACCGGCTTCATTCACATCATAGTGGTCTGTGGGGCGACCATCTCTTCGGCCAACTCAAACAACATCTGATACTCCTGGGGCCCAGGAAGACTGCTGTTCTTGACCAACAGTACGGACTATAATAACAATGACTGTTGATTTCTCACCCAAGCCTGTAGATTTGACGCACTTCCTCGATGGCGAAACCTCAATCACTTCAGTGCTGTGTCAAATATATCTTTCAACGACGGAAACAAACACCGGGCACCTCAGGCTACCCCCCCCTGATCTCTGTTAGGGTTAAAGAACCCCCCCCTCTCCCCAAGCCTATGAGGGGGTCCTCCCATGGGGTTACTCCACTGGGTATGGGTCTACCCAGATTGTGGGCTTGCCCATGGTCTGTCACATCACATTAGCCCTTTTTGGTGTGGGTTGACCCATGGGTGTGGGTATTTGTATTTAATTTATTACAGCCTATATAGCAGCCTAGAAAATATATAAAAAATGCTGGGACACTTAGACATGTTCCAAGTAATATATTATGGTACTTGGGTGATGGGAAAATACATTTCATAGTTCAGGTAGGGGGCAGGTGCTTGGATTATATTTTTTTCAGCTGGCGTGGCTGTATGGAAAGTATCTAGACAATTGGGTACCTATATAGGCTATAGATAAAAGAAAAGGTGGTGGTGGGCAAAAAAATGACCCTTCCGAGAGTTGAACCAGAGGGGGTGGGGGGCAAGACTTGTACTGGAAAAAAAAGGACAGGTGCTGGAATTGAACGGGTGAAAGGGAGGTAAGAGGGAAGCCGACTGGGCCACGGAACGATTATAGGTCGGTGCTTTGATCGTCACTTGACGCCCTTCCACCCCTGCTACAAAATAAGCATATTGTGCTCTGCTGGTTTGGCCTTCCGCCCATGCTCCTTAAGCTTGCTGCTAGAACGTTCCTATAATATGTATTATCTATATATACTCATGCTACATAGGTCGTCTGGCTATTACTGTGCTGAAATCAACATATCACCGTTATATCTGACATGGCCGATGATGCCGGCCGGTATATGACTCTGCCGGCCGGCATGTTCAACTTAGGTCGTCCCCATGGTTGCTGGGTATACCCGGACGCGCTCGAACGTGGATTTGGGTCAACCCAAGGGGCTTCATCAGGCCTGGTTTGGGCAAGGCCATCACTCGGCTTGGATATACCCGAGGTCTTTCCCAAAAAGGACATGGGCCAGCCCGGGCGGTTGTGGGCTGACCCACACGTCGCACAAAGACGCGTCCGGGTAGGCCCATCAGTGCACGTGGATGCGCCCAATTGGGGTGGTCATACCCGTGCAAACCTTCCTAAATAGGCTGGGCAGACCCATCAGCCAGGTATTTTCAGGTCATGCACTTGGTTAAGCCCACCATCAGTGGGTATAACCCGCGTTTGCCTCCAGGGTCTGCGGGCACGCCCACGTGCTTCCCGGCTCGGCCCACGGGCATACCCGAGTCGGATCACGCACCTGATCGGCCGAGTCGGCCGAATCCCTCCCCCCCAGCGGGGCTCGACCTCTGTGACCGTTACCGTGGGAAATCGTCACCTCTCCCTCTCTCCAATTTGCACCTTCCTATTCGGGACATCCTCCCCGCCTCCTCCCCGACCCAGTCCCTCTTCCGCCCACCGCGCGGCGCGTTGAACTTACTTAGCACATCTTATTTTATGCTCCACTGCGGCGGCGACTCCTCGTTTCCCTTCGACCGCTCCGACTTAGTGTACAATTTGTTCTGAGTAATAATCACATTTCACCTAATCAATGGGTTTCTCTTTTCGGGAAGAGCGATAATCTTGAGTGACTTTTTCGCAAAGTTTTGCTTGATACACAAAGGAGATTTTTTTTTACTGGCTACATACATGACATACAAAAGCAAGACATACAAAAGCAAGCTTGATGTAAAGGCTACAGGATTTAATCGTCGTCCAAATCAATGTACTCTAACAGCTTCAAAGCCAACATGCGCTGCGGTGCAGTAAAAGCGGGCTTGAAGCCGGGCATCGTCGTCCACTCGTCATTCATGAAGAACTCTGTGGAATGATGACGGCGATCCACGCGTGGGTCATCGACGTTGATGGGCTTGATACCACATGCAAAGAACACAGAGGAAGATTGGGTGCTGTTGAAGTAACGACACTTCAAGTTGGGAATTTCCGTGTAGTCGTCGGTGTAACGCGCCTTCTTGGGCTTAGGCCGATGATATTCATCGTCGTCGTCGCGTTCACGCTGCTGCTCCCTCCGCGCTCGCTTGCGGTCAGACTGCCGTTGGGCATCCGCCTCCGTCTCGCTGTTGTCTTCGTATTCTTCGTCATCCTCCCGCGCTCGCTTGCGGCGAACAGGCGTCTCTGGCGTGGGCGTGGGCCGATCGGCCTGATTCGGAGCCTCCGCGCCGGGCCGCTTTCTGGCCGGAGCCGACTTGGCCTTGGTGATGGCCGTCTCGTCAGGCACTGGACCCTTCTTTTTCCCCTTTGCTTTTGCTGCGGCTGCGGCTTCCTTGAGCTCCTTCTTGGCATCGGCATCGAGCTTTTTGAGTAGCTTCTGGGATGAGCCCGCTCGGGACAACACGGTCCCGTCGTAACAAACGACGATGGGAACATCGCTTGGGTCCGCGCGAGCGCGTTCTTCTGTAGAAATCCTCAGCGTGGGACAAAAGCAAACGAAGTGAATCACTTACCCGCAGTCCATGGCTCTATATCCGGGGCCAGCTCGGCGTCTTCCAACTGTGGGTCCTCGTCCTCGCCGTCGTTGATGCGATAGGCGTTGGTCATGGCCTCGTACATACGGCGCAGGACGACCGTGGGGGCGTCATCGTTTACATTGGGAGTGGTAGCCGCTTGCTCGTCTTCGTCGCTGGAATTGTCCTCGTCATCGTTCGTGGCGGGAATTGGGGCCTGTTTCTTGTTGGCTAGGTCGTTCGGCGCAAAGCCGTGACCCGGGTAAAGGGACTTGCAGAACTCGGGCCAATTAATGATCCGAACTTTGAACGCGTATGCGAAGTCGGCCCATTGTCTCCATTGGAACTTTGGGAACTTCTTGCGAAGGTCGCCCAGCTGAATGTTGTCCCGAATGTGAATGACCATATCTAAATCACATGTCAATGGATGTCAAATGCGGTCTAATACCAACTCACATAGACGATTAAGAGCATAATGGCCTACCAGCCTCCGCCAGAAATCGCGCAGAGACTCGCCGTGACGCCGAGCTTCGACTCTGAGAATGTTGCGGGTGGTGACAGTACCACTCTCCTCCTCAAGCAGGTCGGCTTCCGTATGTCTGCACCACCGGTTAGTCGGAGACGGAGGAAAGAGCAAGTGGACGTACTTGATTACCGCGTACCACTCCGCCGCCAGCTTATCCAACGTCTCGGCATAGCGAGACTGGGCCTCCAGGAAGAGTTTTCCACTTCCAAACACCGCGTATTGACGTTGGGCGGGGAGATAGGAGGCGCGTCCGACGTCAACGCAGACCCCAGAGGCTTCGAGCTCTTGGGCTTGACTGAGCAATTTGGTCTAGAAGAGATAATGAGTGTCTGTTTGTTGCATACTGAACGCTGCTTACCTGCGAGTTCAAGGGTCGAAGGGCCTTCATCATCATGTTGCCGTGGGTGACCTTCTTAGCGTGCTGTGAGTTTTCGAGCGTCGTCCGCAAGTACTCGTCTCTCTCCTCTTTGAAATGTTCGCGGCGAGCGGCCGGATTATTGCGGAGGTGGGTCGGAAGCAGCAGGATCTTCGCCTTGTAAGCGGCCAGGCAGGCCGCATTGTAATCTTGAATGCTCACTGGTCATAACCGTTAGTAAAGGTCAGATGGACGCAACGCAATCTACTCACCGCCTTCTTCTCGCCGGGAAATACAAGCGATACCAAAACTGAAATGCGTTCCAGTTACTCGTGGCGCGCGACATTCGTGCCATGACCCCGGCTCTTTCAGCCAACGTCGCCGGGCTGATATTGAATTTCTTGGCGAGAGCGTGAAGCTCGGTGAAGTAGGTGGCTGTTAAGGCTTCCGCGGCTTCGATTGCCTCTGGTGGCGGTTGACCAGATTTCAGCCGGCGGGGACCCTCGTCTTCGTTGTCAAGCGGGTCGTCTTCTAGCGGCAAATCGAGAGGATCTTCGCTGTCGACATCCATATCAACGGCGCCCTCTGCCACTTGCTCCGAGTCTTCATCGGGATCCTCCGCTTCATCCATATGGGGTGATGGTGTAGGGAGGCGGAGCTTTGAACTAGATGCCACGGCGTTGGGGGGGTTCAACGTGACACGCGACTTGGCAGTTTTTGCTGTGAAGAGGGGCTTGGAGCTCGAGGCAACGGGGCGGGGACGTCGAGATTGTGTGTCCCGGAGGTACTCCTCGTAGTCCTCTTGCTCTTGCTCGTCGCCGAGCGGCAGCCAATCCTTTGGATCAACCAGCTCATTGTGCTGCGTGATGCGCTGAAATTCTTTGTCGCGAGTTTTAACGTAGTCATCATCGTCGTCGTCGTCGTCCGCTATCATGGAGTAACACAGGCTTGGGCCGGCCGCGGATCTCGAGAGGCGAAGGCGGGAACGTGAGAGCATCTTCATCTTGTTCTTGCCGAAAAGGAGAATCAGCGTCGCGCACAGGCGAGGGGGGAAACGTCAGAGCGCCTTTTCCCTGCCGAGAAGGAAATTCGATGGCGGGGGAGGAATTCAAAGGAAGGCGCCGGCGAGGAGGAGATTGGTCCACGAGAGTCTTGAAGTCGAGCAAAGGATGGGTGGTAGACTTGCCAGTGCGCCGAGGAGACGGCGTGTTGGGAACCGTCGGTGCCGCCAGCGGACTTAGACCAGGCGGGGGGGGGAAGCGCCGGTGAGGCGTTGTTGCCACTGCGCGAGGAAGGTGTTGACGCGCCGCCCCTGTCTGGAGGCGCAGGCAAATCATTGGGCTGTCAACAAGATTAAAAACTGCCAGGCCCCGAGCTTCACGACGCACCTCGCCAGCCTGTCTCGCGTCCGACGCCTTCTCTAAGGCTTCAGCGATGTCTTGACCAGCGTCAGACGCCTCCTCTAAGACTTCAGGAATTACTTCGTCCTGATTGG